GTTTTATGACGTTACAAAGTTTCTTTTAAAAAATAAAAGTTATTTATCCTTGAGATAAGCATATGTTTCCTTTTTTTACGTATCAAAAGATACAGTGTCCATGTTCATGTATTTTATAAGCTACAGTTTATATCAGCCTATATTAGATTTGTTCATTATCCCCTCACAACGGAATAAGAGGGGATATAATAACACGCATGTGAGTGTGAGGGTTGGTAAGTTTGTCCTTGAGTGCATAACGGAAGTGACACACACTGGGATCAAAGTCGTATGCTGCCTTGATTTATATTTATTATATATTTAATTTATTCAACTATTGTGCGATCTCCTCGTATTCCAGTTGCATAAATTAAATTGACGGGGGGATAATAAAGCATAACATACAGTATTTAACTTTTTCCAAGTGTAAATATTGAGTTGGGTTCAATCAATTTTGAACTTTTTGTTAACATCATGCATTAGATTTAGCTATAGTAACTTGAATTACCTGCATAAAGTGAATTTCAAATTACAGGTATACGTTTCCTCAATTATTCTAGGTACTTTCAAACATGTAAGCATTTCATTTTTCAACAGCACTTGTACAGTCACTATAATAATCTTCATAGCTTGATTTTCTACATGCAGTGAAGTCGCCAATTACGCGTTGTCTCAATACCTGGTCACTCGTTTTTTTTTTTAAATTCCATGTTGTTAAAATCACTGTAAAAATACACTGGTCATAAAACAATAAGTTTTCCTGTCTGCAATCTATAAGAAAAATTTGAAAATCGATATCGATCAACATTAACAGAAAATCCGACAAACAAAATTATGAAATATGCTCATTAAAGACAGAGATGTTTGTACTTTCCATGACAATAATTTAGTTTTTGTTCACTTGTAGCATGTAATGAAAAAGTTGTATGTAAACAATAATAGTTGCAAAAAATGACACATGCACTCAGTTAAAATAAGAAATCATTCACGATTATCTCTGCTCAAATACATTTACACTGATTAATAAATCAAATTGTAGCAGTGTTTTCAACTGCGGTTCACATACCTCATGCCATTGAACTTATCAAAACTCAACATTCAATATTGAAAACCTAGTGGCAACTTTTTATTTAATATTTAGAATTATACAAGGGTTGATCCAAAAGTTCGTGGAATTTCTTAATGTTATATCTATTTATTAGTGGAAGTGATTGAAAATTACAGATGAAAATATGTACGCTTGTTGAATTTTCTTATTAAATAAATATTTTAAATATTCATGATAACATTTTGGCAGTTGCCATAGAAATGGATGTTTGAAAATGAGGGAGAGATATTCATTCGTTCATCATCATTTCAATTCTGAGAAAAAAACGCACTAAGTGGTATATAAAATGAAAATGATGCCATAATTACAAGTGCTTGAACTCTTATAAACCTTTGTGTAAAAGTTTTATCCGTTTCACTAGATATCTAGTTTTCAAACTGATGATTTGTTGTTCATCATGAAAATGTCGAAATTTGGTCAGGTAGTAAGTTCTGTGAAAATCTCGAGAACACTCTGACTTATACGCATATTTTAATGATAGGGCAGAACAAAAGTGCAGTAGCAACTAGTTTTCAAATGACGTGAGAAGATGATGAAAGATATGCAATGCAGGGGCGGATCCAGTAATTTTGGAAGGGGGGGGGGTCCAGGTTGGTGCCCCAAAAACTCGTACATAGAATCACACCACAGGCACTTGAAGCCTGTAGTAACGGTTTTTAAAGAGAGCAACCTCCAAAAAGAGTTGACAAGCAAAATAAAAAACATGCACCACGCTCTTTCAGGGGACAGGGGTCCATCTCTAATTTTTTGGTACGTTTTTTTCTTTCAAATGCTTGAATTTCCGTATTTTGATCTTCTGGCAACAAAAAGTACGAGGGAGAGCAAAAACTTAGATATTAAAACTGCATCAAAAGATTATTCTTAGAGAAAGTGAGCCCCCCCCCCCTCCTGCATATTACGGGGACATTTTAAACTTTTCTCTTCATTGATAATATAAAGGAAAGAATTCAAATATTCTCTTACACATACTCCCTTTCAAGACTTTTTATGCCTATTTCTTAAAGTTAGTTACTTCAGAAGATGGTCCAAAAATGGCATAGCTAAAGTTCGTTAGAATCTTTCGATGATGCCAAAGTGAAACCTTGCATGTTACTTATGGGTAGTAGGGCCCGGGGCCGGGGTTGTGAAGGTACTCGGAGGAAAACAAATACGCAAAACTAGCAAGTAGAAATGGAAGAGATTGAACTACTTATTTTATTCAAAATATTAGACATGATAGACGTTAAAATATTTATATTACAGAAAACTCTCTCTCTCTCTCTCTCTCTCTGCAAAAATAAAGGAGGGGTTCCAACCCTCGGACCCCCCCCCCCCCCTCTGGATTGACCAATGGTATGGCTGTCTACCGGAAGGTCGTTTTTTCCTCATAAACAAATTGAGAGTGTAAATGAACATGGATTGCCAATATTCTGTGCTTAACATTGCTACTGAAGTCGGAACATCATAAGGAATGGATTTTAAAAGTGTTACAATGTTGAAAAATGATAGTAATATGAAGGAAATGGATGTAAGATGGATACCCAGGCTTTTTCTTGAGAGCAGATTTTGTAGAATTTCTATGTCGATTTGAACGTAAGGGTGAGATTCTCCTAAAACGTGACGCGATATACCCGAACTTCGACAGACATTACCTCGAAGTCTCCCCCCGATTTTACAACTGTCCATGTTAAGCTTTTTAAAGACTTTTATTTTCACTAAATGAAACTACTTTAGGTGCTTGATTATAGATTAATATTGCTTCCAGTGCCAAAATAATCAAACAATGCCTTATTATGGTGCATGGAAGTACATGAAAATTAAGATGGAAATAAGTGCCGATTTCGGATATAATTATTTTATGAAATTAATACAATATACATGTAAATTAAGGATACACTAGCCGGACAAATGCTTTTCATTGTCTAAAACCTAAATTAACATTTTATTGTCCCTTTTGACTGCATGACCTGAATAAGTATCTTTACTTATCATTACAGGTATAGAATGAGAAGAGGAAAGAAAAGACATAAAAGTAACTGAATCCTGCAGGTAATGCAAAAGATATTTTTAAGTTTATGTGTTTTATATATATGGTACAGTGTGTATAATGTTTAGGCCACAAGTCACTCAGATGACCTATTTCCATCTGTTTTGTTTTCACTTGTTGTGCATTATGCCTAATCAATAAAAAAATCAGTTCTCTATTTGAACAACTGAACCAATTTCAACTTTTTTTGGTGAAAACCATCAAAATTACTGAATTCTTTATTGGTATTAAGCCCATATGCGTGCAAGTACAAGTAGGTACGAATATCTCAAGATGGTGTCTAGCTTGAAAGCTTCAAGAAGTTACACCAGGATTTTGCTATTTCGTATTTCATTAAATGACTTGGATTGAACTGTAGATCTATATATTTAGTATTAACTAGTATCGGCATACAGAGTAAAATAAAACCCCAAAAATAAATGAAACATGTATATCTGGTATAAATGAAAATCCTGATGATACGCATACTTTGATGTTTTGGACATACATACAGTGTATCATACGTGAAAGGTACTGATACCTGCTACCTTTTTATTAAAATTTGTGTCTCATCCCATACCGAAATAAATTATAACTAAGTTATAACTTTTGTAACTAAAAAAAGGTACAAAAAAGTTATAACTAAGTTATCGGAGTTAGGAACCGCCTGTTTTAAGTGAGGTATAATTTAGTTATAACTTAGTTACAAAAAAGTTATAACTTTTGTACAAGTTTTCATTTTTTATTTCAACATAAATACAGCAAGTGCAAAAAGTTACAAAAAAGTTATAACTACAAAAAGTTATACTTATTAAAAGTTACACAAAAAGTTATAAAAAAGTTACAAAGTTATACTTTAGTTATACCCAAATAAACGGTGGAAAAAGTTACAAAAAAGTTATACCCGGAAAAAGTTATTTAAAAAGTTATAAAAAAGTTATACTTAATAAAAAGTTATGAAAAAGTTATAACTAAAAAAAGTTATACCCATGAAAAGTTATAACTTTAAAGATTATGAAAAAGTTACAGAAAAGTTATAACTATGAAAAAGTTATGAAAAAGTTACAGAAAAGTTATACCTAAAAAAAGTTATAACTAGAAAAAGTTATACCTAATAAAAGTTATACCTAATAAAAGTTACAATAAAATTATACACTTCATGTTAACCTGTGGTGGAATTACTCAATTATAGGCTTTAAAAAAGCTACTCATTAAAATTTTTACAAAAAGATTATTAAAATTTTTACAAAAAAGATTATTTAAAAAAAATTAAAAGCACTTACAATTTTATTTTATAAACATGATTAAGAGAGCTTGGTTCATTGTCAAATACAATTGAATGAATGCACATTCATGTTTTCAAGTCTACCTTATTTTTCATCAAGCCATCATAACAGATTGAAATTTCTCAGAATGGTTGTTTTCTTAAAATACATTTTTTAGCATATAGTCATAAGAGTTTTTGTAAAATTCCCTAGTAAACTGCATTCTACTCTTGTGAACTTTTATGAATAGGCATCACTGCCTAGATTTTAACTCTCTAGTTTTTCATGTTAGCGCCATGATCTAGCTGTACTTCAAAAAAAAAGAAGGTTCTAAGCAGTGATTTCGGTCACAGTTCTTAGCTGCATACCACCCAAGTCCTTGCACAGGTATCCTTGTGGATGTACAGTTGTGATTTTTATCTGGATTATTTAAAGACGGGCTGCACCAGTAGTTGGCCGAGCTGGTCGAGGGACTTGGCCGTCCGGCCAGCGGTCTGCGCCCCTTGACAGGTTGTACTGGTAGTAGGCTGAAGTGGTCATGGGACTTGGCCGGTCAGCAGTATGTCCCCCTCAACAGGCTGCACTGGTATTTGGCCAAGCTGGTCGAGGGACTTGGCCGGCCAGCAGACGGTCTGCACCCCTCAATGGCCTGCACTGGTAGTCGTCCGAGTCTTCATTTGAAATATGCTTGCAATTTCAACCTTCTCTTCATTTTTCTTCAATTCTGCAAAAATTAAAAGGTTCAAACTTTAAATATTTTAATTTTTTCTTTAAAAAAAAAGTTGAAGTGTTTCCTGCACTCAAAGCATATCAGATTGGAACCACTCTTTAATATCAATTCATTCAAATTCAAGGCATATGCATCTATAACTTGGAAAACAAGAATTAGAGTTCTGTTGTGTAATTGAGAAAATTCAACCTCAAGGCTCATCACATAAACATGCATTAAAAAAAAATTAAACATAAAGAACAATATAGAACCTGACAGCTTTATAGGCATTAGCTTTAGATTTATCGAATTTGAAATAAAAATAAGATTTGATTATTTACTTACCTAAAACAGGTGATATTTTTGAAGGATTTCACTCCAGCTTGGCACAGACATGAGATGCTCATGGAAAGAAATAATGTACCAGTATACTGCTGAAATTAAATAAAAATTAGAAATTTTATTTTACTCATTTCAGTACACTATATCATGTTATGATCATGTGGTGTTTAAAGGCTACAATATGTACAATATTAAAACAGTTCAGAGAATCTGTTAAACAATTACACAATATAGGTCATTTAATAATTAAACTGATCTATAGGAATATTTAAAGAATTAAATATGACAAAGAATAACATTTTTTGTTCCTATACTAAATGCTGAAAAAATATTATGTTTCAATTTCTTCACTTCAGTCTTTGTCATTGACATACCAATCAAAACAAACAAGAAATCTGAGATTCACATGCCTAGAATTTTGTTCATTCTACATATTTCTTCTTTTTTGAATGCCCATCTAGAGGTAATAAACATTTCCTACCAAAAACATTAAAATATTAACATAAATATTGCCTTACCGAATGATTTTGTCATCGTTTTTCTATCAACACTTTCAACACACCAACATTCAAATCGTCCATGAAAAAATCCGCGCTCTGTTGTTGACCAATCAGAGACTTAGAATAAGTCACGTGATTGAAAATAAATAAATAAATAATTCATAATTAATTTATTTTAAATCCAAATAAACATAATTGTGTATTTTGAAACATATCTTAAATATTAAAAAGCCAGTTGGTGTTAAAATTTTGAAACAGAGTTCCAACAAAACGGACAAAACGGACGTCGGGGCCGCCATATTTGTGTCGTTGCCGCCATTTTGAATTTAATATTTTATTTATTTATGAAAATAACTAGTAAAACTGGGTTTTTTATTCAGGCAAATAATAAAATTCACATGTCCTAGTCTTCTGCTAAAATCTTAATATAACTGGCAGTCTTTATTACCAACATCGTAATATCTGTTAATAAATGAACATACACACACTGTATGTTGTTGTTTATCTTTCTAGCCACCCTTATTACGATTGATTTACTTTAGATTTCAAACAACCCTTGTAAAATTGTACCATTGCGTAATACACAAGCTGAAATTTACGAAGTGTAGGCCAAAAAGGTCATCTAGTACAAACACCTGTGTCACGAGAAAACAATGGGGAAATTAACACTGTTTTGCACACGAAGAAAAATCTGTGCAAAATATTAAATGACTTCATGAGATTATAACATTTGACCACTGTTTATATCTCTTGAACATTTATATTTCTCCAGAATTAGGGAAATTATTCCACCTTAAGATGTACATGCATATAATTTACAAAACATGAAATCTATATAATACGTATTTTCTGAGAGAGAGAGAGAGAGAGAGAGAGAGAGAGAGAGAGAGAGAGAGAGAGAGAGATTATTCCCAACTTTAGATGAAACTAGTACTTACAAGACAAATGTTAATTAAACAACAATATTTATTAATGAGAGAGAGAGAGATTTATTCCAAACTTCAGATGTAATTTACTACAAGTCTCAACTTCACATCTCTTCTGTTGAACTTAACAGTGGATGTGGCTGTGGACTGTAATGGATGAGAAAAACATTGGTATTAAAGATGTCTAAGAAGCCCCCCTTTTTCTTTAAAAAAAAATCTCAACTCACAACAAAACAGAAAAATAAATGTCTGCGTAAGTAATAGCAGTATATAATGCAATTCATTATATGAATAATTTTTAGATAAAGAAAATTCTGCATATAAACAGTGGTACCTTTATGTAGCCCTTAATCATCCCCACCTTTTTATTCATATCCTCTGTAGATATTACAGGTATGTAAAACTGTATTACTATACTAATATAATTATGCTTATTTATTATTTTATATGATTAAATTTCAACAGTTATATAAAAAAATAATTAATTTAGCTGTATGGTAAAAAAAAAAAAAAAAAAAAAATATTCAGTTTAACTAAGTAGCCATTCTGCAAAATGACTAAGTCCAAATTAGGTACAAAAAAGTTACACAGAAAAATGACAAAGTCCTGAAAAGTTATGTTTTAGTTACATCTGAAAATGGCTAAGTCCAAAAAGGTACAAAAAAGTTAAACAGTAAAATGACAAAGTCCAGAAAAGTTATCTTTTAGTTACACCAGAAAATGGCTAAGTTCAAAAAGGTACAAAAAAGTTATACAGTAAAATGACAAAGTCCAGAAAAGTTATATTTTAGTTACATCTAAAAATGGCTAAGTCCATTTTAGGTACAGAAAAGTTATAACTAAAATGTAACTTTTTCTTGAGGTACAAAGAAGTTACAGAAAAGTTATAACTTAGTTATAACTTATTTCGGTATGGGATAATTTTCTCAGTTATATATTTAAAAGATATTTGTTTTTAGTTTTATCATTGTAAATTAAAGCTAATATTCCCTTTCAATCCTTTGCATGCAGTTCTAAAAAAAGTTCAAAAATTTGTACATACACTGTATCTGTAAAAAATATAAATCAAAAATGACAAGAAACTCTTCAGGTCCATAGCACGATTGTACAAAATTCACCTTAACAATAAAAAAAAATGGGGATTAGGTAGTTGACTCTTTACAAAACTAAGACTAAAAAACCTGGGAGAGGGTGTGGGGTAATACACTCATTTTTTTCTGCAGAAAATATTATATTCTGTACAATATGGTGAGAGCGGTCAACTTACTACCACAATAAGAGGGGAAATTGAAGTATGAATACTACCATATGTAAACATGTATCTGCAAAATATGGAAAATCCGAATTAGATGCAAAGAAAAAATACATGTACCGCTACTTGTAAATACAATATGTTGATCATGAAATGATTATAACACGATTCACATTGCATACAATTGCATCTTAAAACAGTAACAATGTTTCTTGTACCTGCTCATCGAAATTTTTCCTGTTTTTTCTTTTCTTGGGGGGGGGGGATCCTTTTTGTTTATTTTAAAAATATATATCGTTCTAATGCACAATTAAAGAAAATATTTATTGGAAATGGGTAAGGAACAAATACCTAAATAAATGGACTGTCTTTGTATCTGTGTGTCCTTCTATACTCGAGGAGATGGAAGCAATACTTTTTTTTTTATTATAATTAGACATTTTGTATAAATTTACTGTAACCTTTAAGGATCGTAGCTAGGAAGGACATTAAAATATGTTGAAGGAGGTGGCAGTAATGTTCTGTTAAAAAAATTATAATAAACAACCACATATTTCAACAATTTGATAACATATTTCTCTTCTCTTCTTCTGGGTAGAGAGAGAGAGAGAGAGAGATTGGATATTTTCATGCACGCATATCCAGTAGCTCATAAAATAACATTGTACCTATATCTAATTTTGTAGGCAACAATATCATCAAGATTTTTCATTTACGTGTAACAATTTATCATTATTTTGCTTTTATGGATTAAACTGCATAATGCTAGGTTTAGAGACTAAAACTATCATCAAATATTCTTATTCACTTCAAGACAAGATTTAAGGGATATATATAAGTATATCTAGCGGAGTAAATTTTCGAAGCTGTCGAGTTTTCGCCATCTTGGGCTATGCATATCTACACATATTGGCTTAACACCAGTGATTCTTCACATTATTAAAAAAAATTCTTCTTTGCTCATGGAAAAACAGTTGGCAAAATTAAAATAAGAAATTAGCCCTTGAACAAAATTGCTCAGAGCCCAGAATGGGGTACCGTTTGCCATTAACAAAATATTTTCTATTTTTTCATGAGCTCTACATATCAGACAAACTGTTTGCATGGTTGTAACAGGTATAGATTTTTCAAACAAAATTGTAAAATTCCTATTCCCTGGGTCAATGGTTCAAACCCAAGGGTAAGGTTTAGTTGATAAGTTAGTCAAATTATGAAATCATGACATCCCTGGAAATTTTAATCATTTATTTACTTATTTGCATCCAGTGACAAATTCTTTGCATAAATTGTAATGAGCGTAATAGTTATAAGCTGAGATCAGGGCTTAATTGACCCTTTTGGTAAAGGGTCCAATTCAATAGAGAATTTTAAAAAATTAATCAAAGTGGCAAAATCAGGAAATATTGGTGACTTGCATAATATTACTTAAGAGAATTAACATAATTAAACAATCTTAATTTATAATGTATTTTATATACATGTAGCTGCAAGAGTAAAAGGCTTAAGAAGAAGAAGAGGAAGTCAGGAAGAATCTTGCAGATTGACATCAACAAAAACTTTTCCAGGAATGAAAACTTGTTTAATTCAAAAAAGTTGGAGCAGACATGGATGGCTATAAAAACAAAATTGGAATGACGTGAAATGATTTAAATAAATTATTAAAAGTCTCATATGTGTGTCTTTTATGTGAGAAAATGTCATTATCTGGTCATGATTAAAGAATTTTACATACTTTTAACATACTTTGTTGATTTATTGGTAGTAATAACTTTCAAAGATTATGATTTTTCAAACAGTTTCATATACTGAGATTATCAAAGTTAATTTTCGAAATTTGTTGTTTGTTTTTTAATTCACCCATATGAATCAAGACATATTCTATTAAAAAATAATAATAAAACAAAACTTCTGATGATTTTTTTTTTAGCTTTTAGCAAATGTATTTTTTGACAAAACTCAAAGTTGTTCAGTAGCTGACAAATTCAAAAAAATAACTTAATGATTACAAGACATTATTAAAATAATATTCAATAAAAAACATCCTTGAGTTGATCTGCTCGTTTTAATTGCACCATCCATATATTGGTCCTGCCTTATAATGGTTGAATTTACAAAGCTTCACAAGTTTCTGGACTCTGTCAATTCGAATGTCTTTTTTTAATATTAAGCTTTTCAACTTCGGTCGCTTAATCTTTAGGTTTGTTTAAATATTGTTTTGCAGATCATGGCATTATTACAATTATGTTGAATTTTGAAGAGATTTCCCTGTGAATTAAATTGTATTATCAGTAAGCCACATGTATATAATATACATGTACTTGTAATAACAAGTTAGTCACAAACTTGTCCATACTTTATTGGGTAATACAATATATCTACATGTAACACCCAATAAGTCACAGAATTGTCCATGCTTTGTTGGGTAATACCCAATATATAGATGTATAACCCATTTAGTCGCACACATGTCTATGCTTTGTTGGGTAATACTCAACATGTAGATGTATAACCCAGTAAGTCACAGACTTGCCCATGCTTTGTTGGGTAATACCCAATATATAAATAGATTACTCATTAAATCCCAGACTTGTTCGTGCTTTGTTGGGTAATACCCAATATATAGATGTATAACCCATTAAGTCACAGACTTGTCCATGCTTTGTTGGGTAATTCTCAACATATTAGATGTATAACCCATTAAATCACAGACTTGTCCGCGGTTCCTTGGGTAATACCCAATATATAGATGTATAACCCATTAAGTCACAGGCTTGTCCATGCTTTGTTGGGTAATACCCAATATATAAATGTATAACCCATTTAGTCACAGACATGTCCATGCTTAGTTGGGTAATAGTCAACATGTAGATGTATAACCCAGTAAGTCACAGACATGTCCATGCTTTGTTGGGTAATACCCAATATGTAGATGTATAACCCATTAAGTCACAGACTTGTCTATGCTTAGTTGGGTAATACTCAACATGTAGATGTATAACCCAGTAAGTCATAGACATGTCT